ATTGACGACGGGAGAGATGGAATGAAGATCGTGCGAATGGTTCTGGTTGTACTTCCGTGATGGTGAGATGCTGGTGGGTCCGATGGAACAGTGAGAGGAAGCAGAGTGGAGCGAGGGTATGAGGAACCCCAACCTACAGCACCTGGCTGAGACGGGCGAACGAGCCTGGATCCGAGAAGCCGCGAGCTCTCCCCGTCAAGGGAGTGGACTTGTGGGTGTTGCCGACAGTGCTGGGGACAGTGCTGGGGACAGTGGGGGGAACAGGGCATGCCGATAGCAGAGCGGGGATGGGGTATCGTTGGTACCTCTTGGGTATCGCGCTTGCGGGGATTTGACAAGCGGGGAGGTACACCAGGTTTGAAATTGGTCACGACGTCGAGGGAAGAATTTCTCGTTGAACGTTGAGGGTCAGGTAGGTTAAAAATCGTGGACCTTCATAACATTGAAGGTGCGTAAAGTCTCTTAAAAGCGCTGCTTCCCTGTTTCCTCCACCCTGTTTTTGCTCCAGGCGCTCATTGATACCTGTAAGAAGTGTCGGGATTGCTACTGTCTGCGGAATCGCTTGACAGTTCGGTGCATGCACAGTGCACACCCGTGTGGATGGCAACAGAGCGGGAATGTGAACAGACGAGCGACTGGCCATGGTTGAAAGTTATGTTGAGGCCCTGTTATAATTGCGGGTATCGTCCGAATCTCGGAATCCGGAAATGGCAAAGGCGGGGCGGCACTAACCTTACTTTAGAGTACTCTCCTCTTCAACCCCCCGACGCGCCTTACCGGTACCGCTTGTCAGCGTGTTCCCAACTACATCGCCTACCTCTCATACCCTCACCTTGGTGGCCCAGGAAGGTGAACGAACAAACATAACCGACTACCTCCTGAAGAGCAACTCCCGTCTCATCCTGTTTACACCCCCTGTCGTCGTCAACATTCCAAAATCAGCGTCCTTCTCGCAGACACCCCAACAATCCGCACTGCCGCAGGACGTGCCGCAGGACAGGACATTGTCGCTTTTCTGGGTGTACTCGATCCCAGGAATTGGCCAGAGTGCTTACAGCAGGTCGTCAACATGCTCGGTTCGCCCAATATTCAGTATTCGACTCCCGCAGGTAAGCCGCATATACACGTAGTCTCTTTTAGCGCTGTCCCATCGACCACCATGATCACTCCATGCTGATATTTGACTTAGGCTCCATTCAGTGCCTTTGAGCGTGCCTGCGAGAATATTCCACGAAAGGCGGACGTTGAGATCAACGGCGCACGCCTTTTGAACCACATCATTTTAGAACGCCAAGTTGCGATCGCATGCGGTCGCCTGTCTCTCTTACTTCGTCCCCATCGTGTGCACGTTCCTCTTCACCCACACCGACACTTCGTTGCCTATCTTTTCAAGCGGGATTCCGACGACCCCGGTGGCTGGCGGCACGCGTGCCATGATATCATCGGGCTCCTCGTCGCACGGCCCCGAGATGCTCATGCCGGGGATGGCCAGCATTGCCGAGTACCCGGTGCATTCGACGAAGGACAAGAAAGCGAGCGTGACACTCAAAGCCTGCGAGTTCTGGCTCACGTTTGCCAATGGCCCGGACCTTGCCCGATACCTGCTTCCCCTTCTTCCCTGCTTCGCTCTCGCTCTTCTCGACCACATGGCCTGCGGAAAAGGCGAGTTGCTGTGGTTGGGAGGCGACGCGGAGGACAACACCGTTTCCGACGGAGCAGGACATCAAGCCTCGTCATTACGGTGGCAAGTCCCACGGTTTCGGGCGTAATCCCGCTGAGAGCCAGGCCAACGAAGAGGATACGAAGCGCGGAGCAAACGGCGAAGAGACAATCGACAACGACGATGAAGATCATGTTATGGATAAAGACCAGTTCGCTGACGAAATGCCAACGGAGGGGAATGTCAACAAATGCGCGGTCGCCGCTCTCGACGTTCTCATGGTAATATTTAGGGCGAATTTGATAAATGTCCTTCTCGATCCACTCAAGGTGAAGGTGGAGAGCGCGGAGTGGATGGAACGGGAGAGTGCAAATTTAGCTTTTTGTGTGATGGCCGAAGGTGTGTAACCCTTCTTGTCATTGTGTGCTATTTTCTAAGGCACATATAGGCTGTATCGATGCGATTGAACCGCAACGCCCTCATTCCCTTATTCCGTCAACTTGCTCAATGATCCCAAGTTTCGTCTCTCTGATCCGGCTCCGCGTACAATGGTCATCCTAACGTCCCTACTTAGCTCCTCATGCGCTTAATTACATGCTGGACACCCGGATGCTACTCGTCCGACGCCGATACAGGAGGTCTTGCCAGCCGTGATCCATAATCTGCGTAGAAAGAATCCCACGTCGCTCCTCCACCATCATTGGCCAACCCAGCTAGTCTCTACATCTCCATCGCATTTCTTCATAATCTCGCAGGTTTTTTCTCGCTTGCACAGCTCTCGTACAAAGCAGACTGCTGCTTGAACCCAGCCCTTAACGAAATCCTACTCCCATATCCATCACACCCCACGCAACCCTTACGAACTTAGATGTCAACGCCACCTTAAAGTTGGCTGCTCTCTTCCCCCTTCTCTCGCACTTCTCCCTATCCGACCTTCTAGAACCCAAGGCCTTGCACGCCCTTTAGTGGGTGCTGACAGCTCAGTCTAGCGAGGGCCAGGGTAGTCTTACGGACTACCTGAGCGAGTACGTTGTTACACTCAACATCAAGAAGATGAATTACTTAGGGATCTACGACTGCGTTCATCGCGTGGACGACGGAATATATTCGACGAGCAGTTAGGATCCGAAAACGGAGGAAATCTTGGCCTGCATATTTGAATATCTGCCGTATGTCGACAAGGCTGCGGAGGAGAGGGCGAAGGAGAACGAAATTGCAGGCGAGTCTTGCAATTATCTTATTCAACTTATCAGAGAATGAATGACTGCGTTTCTAGACCCCAGCGTAACGCAAAGCAGTCTACCTCTCGGCTCTTCTCTCGACCGCGCCAATGCATCATTATACGTCCTTTGCTGTTGGGCTGGCCACTATCAGGCGTCTCCCGACCAGACGGGTCTCAGGAGCGTGCTTAGCCGCTCCTTCTCCGCTCGTGGCTCCTCGTGAAGACGAGGGAGGAATCAACATATTTGAGTGGGTCTTTTTTCTCGTCCTATCATGTTCGGAAGCATTATGAATGTTGGCCGTGTCTCCGTAGCACCTACCACCATAGTCATTCTTCTTGGCAATCTAGTCGCGCGCACCTATACTGGCGCCGTGTCTCTACCAACCTTTGTCACAGAAAGAAGTTCGCGGCGTCGTTGCCCTTCCCATGATAATAAATTTACGATATCCTCCAGGTCATTGCGGTTCTCAAGAAAGTTCATCTGGTTGTTATGAAATGAAGGACGTGTTTCTATACTGGCAGGCTTCGAGCTCGCTCCCGAGGTTCACCGTCTATGTTCTACTTCCATGTTGCCATGATCCATGTGTGCGCACGCTGCATCGCTCAGCTCACCCCCTTGATTATCTCTGCGTGCACCAACTAGAGCTTCACTCGACTGTGTATCATCTCATATTACTTCTCGTCGATCTAGGCCCAGCGCACTGGCCAAACCCTGGCTCACAGCCCGAGCCGCACTGCGTAGTATCTAACAGTGTCCCCATTTCCGCACCCACTGAACCTGCCAAAAACTTGCAAACCCTCAACCACTTACGTGTCATTTCGGTATCCCGGCGCCTACAACATACAAGTCCAGCATAACGGCAGCTCTGGTTGACTGCACGCTAGTCACGAATCCGAGGCTAATCACGGTTTCACATGTTATCATCATTCTTACCGGAAGCAAAGCAGACGGATGTTTCGTTCAACGGCAAGGCCCATTATCGTCTTCACCGTTGCGTCTGGCCATCTGAACAAGGTGCATCTGTTTGGACTTCCCGTTTTTCTGCTGAGCATTGTTTCAGGTCATTCATTGCTTTCTGCATAGCTACAGTGACGTTCAGTACGCGTGTTGGTCAATATGTCTGTAATCTGTAGGTAGCCATAAATTCAAAAACACATCGTGGGCTTCAAGGCCTAGAACTATGCATGTATCGTCAACGTAACCCTCTGAGCGATCTCACACAACTCATGGGTTCATTGAACCCATGTCAGCGCGTTTTGAATGCGGCCCAACTTGAAGAAGGTCTTCGTCTATACAACGGAGACTAGCTAGATAAAAGCTCCAATAATTTATCTGGGTCGCTCTGTCGGTGCTGTTCTATTCCTATAAAGAGTGGAATGAAACAATCACTCAGCGCAACCACTATGACGCCTTTGGGGACGTGCTCACCGTGCGATTGTCTAAAGGAAGAACAAAGAGGTACTTCTCATCTGACTCTCCTGGAAGTGCGGTAGGTGCACTCGCGAAGTGGCAGACTATGTCGTTCAGCCTGATAATGTGTCGTCGCATGCATCCCTCTTCCCTGGAGCTCATCATGCGGCAACCGATGTCGATGAACTGGCGATATACATCCTTGCATAGTAGATCTGAGGGCAGGGGCAAAAGCTCGTCGACAGTGAAAAAGGTATCGGTTATAGATGTACCATCTTCATATGTACGTTTGTGCATGAATATTGTTTGAATGTGGCCTAGCAAGTCTCCAGAGCGATCAGGATCATGGAAAACAATCTGGCTATCTCTGAGAGAGTGAGACACGGTAGCAAATACTTCGCCATGTCTTGATATCTTTTGTAGATGATTCACCCGGGGCCATGCAGGCCCAAGCGCATCTGGGCGTCCACTATGTTCCAATAGCCACCTTTGGAGTAACTTGATATCTTCGGACGGGAGAGGCTCAAGCTTCTTTGCTGACCATGTAGGGCGAGTCTCCTCATGCGCAAGTTCCGGATGCACTCCTATCATGTCGTTAAGGAACGTCCCACGTACATCGGCCTGAAAGACGCGTTCGTAGGCAGCGACAAGGCTGACCAGCTCCAGGGGCAGTTGTTGATCAGTGAATAGGGCACGTAAGTTTTGGCTCATGCAAAACTTGACAAGCATGGTATATTCCATCTCGCCTGGTCAATAGAAAGAAAAAAAGCATTAGCATCAGAAACTAGTCTTCAGGTAACAGTCGAGCTCACCAAAGCGCTTATTAGTAGAAATTTTCTGGATAAGTCCATTATAGCGCTCAAAAGGAAAGCATCGCCAAGAATGGACTGGGCCGAAGTTCGCAAGCTGCTCCCCAAAATGAAGCACCAAGTGATGCGTTGGTGATAACGTCACCCCTTTATACAAGGATAGGAGACCTTGTAGATAGCGTTTCATGTAGAAATTGTACTTGTCTATTCGCGAAGCAGTCATGTTCCGCATCATAGCGATCTTGACTGCCGACACCAAGTCCATGAAATTCGAATACATGGCTGGGTAGTTCAATGCAGTTTTGGTGGAGACCTTGTTACCCCACAGACGACCAAGGGTATACGGGAGGTTGACTGAACAAAGGGAGCGATAGTGGTCGGCACTCAGTTTTCCATGCTCGGTAGAGCCGGATTTGGTTGGAGCAATGGAAACCCATGACGGGATTGATAACTTCGACATGTCGTTCCAAATAGCGTTGATCGTTTCGCGACCCAAAACCCTAGTCTTGGCTCTTGTGCTCTTGCGCTTCGGTTTCTTCTTTTCTAGTTCCGCTCGCTTTTTCTGGTACGTAGCCGTGAGCTTGCCGTCCTCATCGGTAATCCCAATATCTGTGCGCTAACGTGAACCATGAGGTAATTATAATAGCTCAAAAAAAGTCAAGTAATGGTGTTAAAACTCACCCATGCGCGCAATTTATCCACGATATTTTCTTTGGTCATAGACTGTAGACCGCCGTCGCATAGAGGGTCTCGTGATATCTGGTCTTGGAAAACTGAGGAACATAGCAGCACGAGTTCATTTTTTCGAAAGGCATTGAAGGCAGTCTTTGCGACGGCTGTTTCGAGCACTTCAATGGCGTGGCCTAGGTCAAAGGTATTCTCTTCATGAGGGCTCTGGATGGATGTGGACATTTGCGACGTCAGTATCGGGTCGCCGCTGCGGGAGGGGCTGCCTGGTAGGGGAATGGTAGGCTCTGGGGTCATGACTATGTCTTGCGCAGGTTGGCTATTAGTAAGCAAAGCCGTCGAGGAAGGAGCATGCCCATGACTTGATCCGGAAGGAGGTCCTATGGAGGAATGAACCGCATTCGTCGAGTGCCGAGGGAGAGTACGCCTAGCATAGAGCTTATGGTTTGAACCCGTCCAACCGTTCTCTATGCGCTGCATTACTATCAGTACAGCTGGGTACATCTTCAAAGCACGACCCACATAAGCCAATAATTTATCAGACATATCGCTATTCTTCAGTTTTGCCGTTGTAAAGTCACCGCCCAACTTCAGTTTGCAGAGGTATTCCAGGCATCGCTTCGGGAGGTTGCGAACTGCAGAAGGCCCCGAAGACTGATGAAAGGCGCTCAATGCTCGGGAGACGTCAGCCTCGCTGAGCTTGTCGGTGGACGATGCTTGCCCACAAGCTGCTGAATGTAGACTCGCTGAAGATCCACTAGTGGGGAGTTGCTGCGAGCTCATGACCCGTGGACTACTCGGTGGGGCTTGACGAACAGTGGATTGCGAGCTTGTGTCCATATTGGCTTGGGAACAAGGTTCTGCCACAGGGGGGTCTTCACTACGTGGATCATTGAGCTTTTTTCCGCGCTCGTCAAACCAGTTCTGATCAACGCGCTGATGAAACGTCGTCAGCTAAGCTATTGTGTATGAAGTTAATTAACACGTACAAATTTGAGGAGAGTCTTTAGTAAATATCCCTTGCGGCCACCAAAACGGACACCACTGTCACGACAAAGAACTCTGAGAGTCTCTTCGGAGAGCTTGTTGAGATCCGCCTTTGAGCCATTGCGCAAGACATCAAAGCCATGTTTAACTTGTGCATCGGAGGGAGACTTGGGTCCCAGAAAACGGTCGTAAAGAATGCCTGGTCCATCTTCAAATTTGACGTCCATTCCCCAGATCTCTCGACAATGTTTCATGAATAGGACCAACAGAAAAGAATGCATCGAATCCAAAAGAGCAAACCGAGTAGGGTCCCAGTATGGTAACCTTAGTAGTTCACTCCACCGAATACCATGGTCTTCATATATCTGAGTGCGATATTTTGTCGTCTTGGCATTCTTCCATCTCCTTGCAATGTTCAGATGCTCTGACCACGTCCGTCGTGTCCATAATGAGGGATCTAGATTACCTATGTCATGTGCTTTGGTGTAGCAGTAAGAGCAAAAATGTTGGGAATTGTGCGATGCGCACCCAGCCATTTGTCGTGCCGCTACAAGATCACAAACCAGCGGAACCAGTGCCACCCGTATGTGCCTGCCTAACGGATGCAGCGCCGTGCGAGTTACTCGAATGCCTTTCTTCCAGCAAATAAGGAGATCATCGACGACGGGTCGAAGGAGGTGATTGATTTGATGGAGCGAGGGCTGCTTCGGCCCGGGAATGATGGCAACAAGATACATGTTCTCCACCTTGTAGCGTAATGAGGGAGGTAGATTCAAACAAACCATATAAATGGCACCAGACGACACATGATGGCCACCTGTACGATTACCGTATGGGTTGAAGTTGTCCATGTTCATGCTCAAGATATAACGCCCTTCGTTAACACCGCTACGAACAAAGAATTCTCCGTCTGGGCCTCGAAATTCTCGCAGGACTGGAGCATCCCAGACGTCGCGGTGTTTCTTGGGTGGACCTTCCTCTCTTTTGATCGGGTCTTGCTCCAAAAGCTCTTCGATAAGCTTGCGGGAATGCAGTCGGCCTAGCCAATCCTTGATGTCGTGATAATGAAAGAGACGAGCGGGCTTTGAGTTCTTGACTCTGCCGGATGCCTTGGTTTTAGCGCGAGTTCGTTGCCTTGCAGCTTTAGAAGGGCGGCGGAGCTTGCGGAGCAAGCGACCGCAAGGCTTGCTGGAGGCCGTTTCCTTGCTGGTACAGTATTTTGGATAGGCGGCGTCGGCATCGTAGCAACAGAAACACTTGGGGCAGCAGACAAATGATTTCGTGATTGGGCGCAGTCCAAGACTATCAATAGCGTATTTGACTCCTTTGGGAATGCTATCAACGATTCTTTGCTCATGAAAGCTCGTTGGAGTTTGGCAGGAGAATGCGAGTTCAAGAAGGAGTCGCAGCAGTGATGAAACAAACGAGCAAGAGCTGACCGAAAGATGACAGAGAAGATGGAGCGCGGCAAGTAGAAGATAACAGACAAGTGTGATGGGATTGAACCCAGATGTTGCCGAGAACAGTTGATCTAGCCGACGGTTTGAATCAGCATCAGCAAAGAGTTATATATAATAGTTACACACCTGTATCAACGGTCACGGTTTCGCTGTTCCCTTCTGGATCACCTTCATCTTCATCTTCCGCGGTAACACTTTCTTCGTCAGTCCACTCATCCGAGTCGGTACCTTCACCAGAAATGTCTTCGCTCTCCGTATCACCGAATTCTTCCGACCCAGAGCCATCTTCGTCACTTTCAGTCTCTATGCTTTTCGTAGCCAGCTTTTCCGTATCTGTTATCCAGGAACCCGTCTTTGAGGAGAGATCGAGTTTCTGTCGCATCCATTCTTCCCTTTTACCCAGCTGGAGGTCATGATATGCTGCTAGCAAAGACCGCTTGAGACTGATGGCCTTCAGACGAACCGTGGATTTGAGGTGTTTACGGGCCTTGTCTGCGGCTATCATGCATTCCAGTAACCACTCTTCAAAACCTAGGATTGGGGCATTATCGGGGAATGTGTACACAAGCGCCAGCTCCCCACAGTTTACCGTGAGAGGGGCTTCATTCAATGAGTCAGTGGTAGGCGGCGGCGAAGCCTCTTCGGGAGGATAACAGAACTTGAGGGGTTTGCGGAATAGTTGCTCTGCCTTGTGCCTGAGAAGTTCGTTCCGAAAATGATCCAGTAATTCTATAAGCGTGTCGCTTTCTTGAGGGAAGAGATCGTTTTCCGTGACTTCTGTATCAACATGTCCTTGACTATTGGTCGGCGTGGGCAGGACAACGGTGGATGGCTTGACAATAGATGACATGTGACCTAAGTCGGGGATGAGTCAAATGAATACAAGGGAGGATGAGTGCAAGGAGACAGTGCTCACTTGTTTGCGGCAAGCCGTTATAAAAGTATCGTCCCCGACGCACATTGATAGGATTGGCAGAGGAGCTTTCCTCCCGGACATCGCTGGGAACCGAAAAAACTGCTGGAGCAATGCCACGAACATTTTCCATCCTTCGATGGTCTGCATATTCCTTGGCCCCGACATATCTGCCTTTGACAATCTGGCCGTAAGGGTCTATCACGTTAGAGAACTGACAATCCCAGCAAGTGCATAGCTGGCGCTTGGGGGGGACTGGAGGGGGCTTTGACTGCCCTACGGGACGTCCATGCTTCAAATAGGGACGCATTGTTCGCTAGTGGTGTGACGTCAAGCACGAAAGGAACCAGCGCATGGAAGCCAATAGACAGTGTCGTTAGGTCTGAAGCTGAAGGTCTGATCAATGCATTGCGGTCATCGCGGTTCACATTCATTTCCCATTCTGTAATGCTACCGAACTAACGGCCGGATATTCGACATCGAGGTGCAACACCACCTGCTTACTGTGAACTGATGCGAGTCAAACAGTGCGCGCTGAGAAGGCATACGAAAGAAAGTCAACGTTAATATTTTTACACCATGCGTCGGCATTGCTGGTGCTGAAATTTCAAACATAGTGTTTAAGCATATAATCCGATGACGATCCAATCATCATACTCTACAAGAAGATTCAAAAAACAAAGAGGCCTACGAAACCTTAGACTCCCGCATAATTCACCAAGTGCTACCATGATGCCCTCACTCTTGACCATAGCGGCGGCATGACCGATGACGATGCGAACCGCTATCTCACAGTCGCTGTGGCCCATGGTCCCGATGAGGTCCGATCTGCACGAAGACGAGCATACGACAGCCTCCTGCATTGGCCACCGGCCATCTCCCGCCCTGGTCACATTCTACATCGACGGAAGATTGGGCTCTTATTGTACCGACGCGTGTGCTTGGGAACCCTCGCTTACTTCCTCTTTCAGCTCCCCGTACTCACCCCCCGTGCCCGTGTTTCATGCCCATTGCCCGTTTCTGCTCTTGTTGAGAATGCGTTGGGGCAACATCTCTGCCTCGATGGCCTCGCGAGCTGCAAGAACGTCCTTAAGTACACAGCCATTAATGGGGTGGCTGTGAAGGGATGGCTACGCCTTCGAGAGCTCTTGAGCGAGCCTTCAAAAGTCTTCACAATGAGATGCTGCCGGGGGCGGGCCCGCCTGTCTTGGGGCCATGGTAATAGATGAGTGTAGATAAAAGGCAGGGACAAGGGATAGTGAGGGAGATTGGGGGCTGTACGCACAAAAATTCTGATCAACATCCGTTTATAATGCAACATTTGAAGTGAATGCATTTACGGACCGACGAGGGTATCGCCACTTTTTTCATGGCGTTCGAAAGCTGGTGCGGCCCCATTCCATTATCGCGGCTTTCTGGATTTCAGTGTATGCGACTGTAAATGTGCCAGTGGTCGAGGATGTGACGGCACTCGCTCGGTGGGCGAGTGTTTTCTATGCCGTTCAAGGTCGAATGCTGCCGACTCGAACCATTGAGCGTGCCACTGGCAGTCGTTCCCTACAGCTCGGCCCCACTTTCGGATGCGACTCTCCACGAGAACAACGTCTCTTTTCTTGAGTGCTGCGACGGCTATCTTGTCCAAATCGTGCTTGCGCTTGATGTCCGGGCGGCCGTCATAGACATAGTTAAAAAAAAAAAGAGCTCTTGATATTGTTAGAATGAAGTGCGATTACCAATAGACGAAGCCGACCTAGCCGTCGTGGTACCGTTGAACTTGCGCATCTGCCATAGGACGAAACGGTAACGCTCCAAGGTTCAGTTGAGTACGCTGACAGGATGTGTTTGTTAACTGAAAACTGTCATACAGATATCAAGACATACTGCGTTTAAATAGGGATAGAAAAGCCAGAGTGCGTTAGCCGCTTGCATGGACAACGGTCGGACTCCCTAGTGTCCTGAGGGCTACCACATAGCTAACTGCGTGTTTGTTGGTTTCGGTTTTAATACATTCTCGCCTTAGGCGGTGTTGAGGCAAAAAAAAAAGCATGGACAACGGTCCCGCCAAGAAAGGAAGGATGCTAAAGCGTAACTTTGTTAGCGGGGATTCCAACCTCAATAAATTTCAGTGAAGTGACGCGGTCGACGAATAGAACAGTTAATCATGACGCATTGCGAGGCAATAGAGGGGGGGGGAAGCGTAAGACGCTTTGCATCGCGGGCATACTCAGATACGCCACGAATTCGCCTAATCCAAATTTAAAAGAAAGAAAGCGGCTTATTAGTTTATATCCTCTACCGAATGAAAACGAAGTAAACTAACCGCTGGAGACAGGATGGATACTCGCTGATAGAGGTTAAGTCAATATGTAAAGAAGTAGGAGACGGAACAGAAGCGATGGTCGCAAATTTGCTGATAGACTAAGTTAGATGGCACCGTAGAATTGATGAAGGTTTGCGTCGGATGCATGGAGCAAGGGCCTAGTTTGAGAACGTCAATCAAAATATACGCTCGTATATCGCAGCCAATAAGCTGGATTATACATCCTAGGCCTACACATCTCCCCTTCCCCGTAATAAGTGGGGAAAAGAGCGCGATAAGAAAACGCCATCAATAACAGAAATGATGAACGGCGGCAGTCCAGCTAACGCGAACAATGGGACAGGGGTAGAGTGAGATATAATATAATCATGAGAAGCAGCCTGCGAATGAGGGTAAAGCATAATCGAACCCTAAGTATATATTGAGCACTGGAACTAAAAAAGAAGGGAACCGAACAACGAGGGTATCCGATGCCAGTAAGCATGGGAACTATATAGATAAATGAATCCGTGTAGCAGGCGGAGTAACGAGAGGGCTACCACCAGATGTAAACGATCGAGTCCAGGAACAACACATAGGTTGCGGTCCCGCTGTGAGTGTAGCAGGTGCGGGAATAGGGACTCTGCCATACTCTGGATAACGCGGCTCCGCTCGGGTTGCGAGCCAGCGTTTGTTTAGTACGCTGGGCCTGGGTTGACAAGAAGCGCCGGAGTTCTTCGGGCTTCATCGAGACCTTGCGGCCGAACTCGGCGTGCGGGCAGCGCGACAGATGAACGAGACGCGGTCCGAAATCCACAGACTGGTGGAATAAGGCGCCGCGGGAACTGAGTGCGAATGATAGGGACAACAGTGCGAGCACCGGCAATGGCACCCCCAGCGACAATATCGCCATTGGGATGAGATGAGGTCGGCCGTGGGCATCGTTGACATCGTCACCCATCATAGCGTAGAGGTGGCCGAGGCTCTGGGGGGTACTTGACAATCTCGAACTGTTCCGTGAAGACTCTAGCAAAACTATCGGCGTTGAGAATCATGTCGTTGCTGGGTGTGCGCCTGCTACAAGGAGGGGTCCTTCCTCGCTAGCCTTGGTTCGGTTCATTTCGTCACAACAACAATTTGTCTCCTTAGCGATGGCGAGCTGAGCGCCGGCGACCATCTTGACCTGTATGCCGAGAGCGTGATTGGTACATTCGTGAACGGGGTTGTATGATTTGAGCACAAGAAGCAGATGCCACTACGCGCATGACCAAGGGTTGCGGGGCGAAGGAACTGGCCAAGCACACGAAGTTTTCAGCCGGGACAGGCGGTAAGAAGGGTTCGGCGGCCCGAAACGAGAAGACGTGAGTGCTGGCGTAAGCGTCATTCGCTTCAGCCAAAGCGGGGGTGTTAGACCCAGAGGGAAGGGGGAGCCATTTGCGCTGGCGACTGCGCTTCAAGGGGCTTCGGGCGACGTGTGCGACGTCGAACCCACGCAGGCGACTGCGTTCATGGGAGGGAAAAGCCAGGTGTCTCTGAGCTTGCGTATCCTCCGGTATTTTTCAAAATCCGATTCCCACGGTCGTGGCTGCCCGAGACGGACACTGGAGGGCCAAGTGAGGACTGTAACGTTAAACATGTGCGCGAGCACTTAAGTGGCAAGCATGAATTTAGGAAGTTGCTACTTCATCATCTAGGCGTGAGGCCACCCGATTCTTATGTTCACATGATCTCTATTAGCATGAGCTTAATCCGTTAAAATTTATCGCTACAATGCCAAGGCGTTCATACTATGGTCTACTGGGCCATGCTACTGCGATGAATGGCGGATCTGCGCGTATGGATGATCATCAAACAGTATCAGCCACGGGGGTTCGAACTATAGCGCTAGCTTGGTCTTGAACTTACACGTCAAGGATCACCTAGTTCGGACTGGGCACCCAAACTAACAGAATAGGTCGGATCTTCTGATTGATGTGTCAAGGTAAGCGCATGTCGGTGCTCCCAAGTTTGCTCGATCCACTCGTGATGCATGAGGCTAGCGACAGTGAGGCGCTTAGATGGGTCTATAAGAAGCAATTTGCTCAAAACATCTCTGGCTGAAGGTTTGGCATATCAATTACTCCGAGTTATGAGGAAGCTAGGTAAGTATAACAATTCGTGCGCACCCCCCGGAGTTACTGCATGCGGTAAACGCCTGAAGATAGGAGATTGGTGCTTGACAAAATGGAGATCTTGGCCATTTTCTTGAGGAACACCTCGACCCCTGTTCTTAAATGGAGAGCGCCTTGACAGCCTACAACGTTTAAGGACGAAAGTAAGCCGCCGTACATGAACATATGGCCTACATTCTGAATAATGTCACTCCAAGACTGAAGCAGTCTGCAGGGTAGCTGTACCTATGCCCAATAGGTGCGTCGCGTGCAGAGACTTCGGGCGCCATGAACATTGGAGTACCGCATATTGTCTGCACAGAACTGTCAGTGAAGCATTTGATCACAGGGCTCGGACTCACGCCTGCGTAAGTGCCCTCATGGATCAACTTTGCAAGACCAAAGTCTGCGAGTTTGACGCGGATTGGGTCCAGGTTGGAAACAAGGATATTCTGAAAATAGAAGTTGTCCAGACGGATAATCGCTTGCAATTGGCAGAATGGGTAGCCTACCCCTGGCTTTATGTCGCGGTGCACAATTCGATGGGAGTGAAGGTACTGCTGGATAATGAGCATGTCGATAAGGTATTAACAAACCACCAAACGTACTTCAAGTGCATCACAGAGATCAGCGACTACTAGCTTCGACGTGTCTTCTGCTACAGCGATCATCAGAATCTTAGTGAAAGAAGCCAAGCATAACTCACACATCGGATCGTGCAGCTGGATTAACCCTTCGAGATCGCCGTATTCTACTTTCTCCATGACGAGAACTGAAGAAGCAGATGACTCCAAATAGTCGAATAACCACAAATGAAGCTCACATATTTGGCTTGCTGACTCATGGACAGATTTCAGCGATACAATGTTGGGCTGGTATTGTGATGGGATGCGTAAAAGCGACTAGGACTGCGGATTGGCTCACGTGGCGAAGTTGCATCATAAGCCAGATTTCTCTGAGGATAGGTGCATTGCGCCGTCTGGCAGGAAGGAACGGGATCTTGGGTAATCGCTTTACAGCATACGCCTTTCTAGTTTTGATTTCTGTGGCCTCGTACACTTGTCCAAAGCCACCTGTGCCGAGGCTTGGACTGAGGTCAGAATCTGTAATGGAACCATACATTGCAAGGCATACCATGCTCCCATCTCGTAGAGATTGTCGAACTGGAGAAAATGATGTCCCGTATAAGTGAATGACCCATGTGCACGTATTGATAAGACGAGTCTCACATCATCGGTAGGAATGGATATAAAGATAATGGCTTATAGATGTGAACTTGCCCGCATATTGAAGATAATAGGATAGTACATACTGTAAGGATCGGCACCATCGGTAAGCGTTATGGAAGACCCTTCGACAATTTGCCTAGTTTGATCTTTGAGTAACAACGTTCCATCCACCTGTGATAATGAATTGAGGTAAGGCCATGCAAGAAGGCAGGTAAGTGCTTGCTCGGGTGACAAAGTCGGTGTGGCTTTCTGCCCAGTATAGCGGGTTCCCGTCAGGGTCACCGGTACGATACATGGAAAGGTGTTCTTGATCTGGTTGATCATGTCAGCCAGAACATGTTTCACGGAGCAAGAAATCAGCCAACCGATTGCATCGGTGGAAAACACAACGTCGTTCGGATCAACAGCGCGTCCTAGTTTGTAACGATCTTTGGGTGCTTGTAGGGGGATATCTCGGTCCAACCAGCCGTGATTAGGGATGCGGATGCGCATTAGCCCCCATACCGAAGGGAGGTAATGATAGACCATTTTTGAGCTCTCTTGAAACGTCACAAAGCGTTGGTGAGTCCCGATAGGTCACGTGAGATTCCAGATTTGGCAGGGCGCGCCTAAGTACTCTCGTTTCCTCCGCACGCTTCGAGTTTTCAAATTAAGGGCTGGGTGTGCGTAGGATTATATCTTTTACATGACCTGCATATTGATAATCAGTCTTCAGTTGCTCTCGAAGGAGAGTACTCATGGAAAGGGTTCAGGCTATGCTAGTTACACAATACACGTTCGCCGATGTGAATTGTGCAGCCAAGGTATGGTGTTTTGGTTCGCTTCATCATGTTACGGATAGCTAACCACCGACAAACCACAGATTCCCGACACTATGCCCTTAGAAGAAGCATCGCCTATCTCTGCCTCTCCCTGCCTGTGTAGACACCGCCTCTGATCCTCCCCGGCAAGCCCGACACATAAAAGGGGCAAACCATATATGTGCTTGGGGCCTTTAGATCTTGGTCTGTTGGTCATAACGGTGGGTCCGTAAATTTACCTTGGCTTAACACTGGATCAGTATTGACCCGGGTTTCCGATCATCAGCTTGCTCGTCTCGCCGACTTCCCCACCATATGCATCCCGACGTCGCTACGAGAGATCTCTTGAAGCTATGCATGTTATCGGCGGGCACCTTTTTCCAGACGATATCAATTGCTGCCCGCGTGAAGTCAATCACATCCGGCCCCATCAAGACTGGCTGCGACAGGATTTCAGAAACTAAATGCCTTCTTCGCCGCCGCACCGTAGCCCACCCGACCCTCAACGAGAAATTCTTCCCTCGACGTCGTGACCAATTTCAAACCTGGTGTACCTCCCCGCTTGTCAAATCCCCGCAAGCGCGATACCCAAGAGGTACCAACGATACCCCATCCCCGCTCTGCTATCGGCATGCCCTGTTCCCCCCACTGTCCCCAGCACTGTCCCCAGCACTGTCGGCAACACCCACAAGTCCACTCCCTTGACGGGGAGAGCTCGCGGCTTCTCGGATCCAGGCTCGTTCGCCCGTCTCAGCCAGGTGCTGTAGGTTGGGGTTCCTCATACCCTCGCTCCACTCTGCTTCCTCTCACTGTTCCATCGGACCCACCAGCATCTCACCATCACGGAAGGTACAACCAGAACCATTCGCACGATCTTCATTCCATCTCTCCCGTCGTCAATCTCCCTCGACCCAGTTCAGCGCGATGGGCGGCTATAG